AAAAAAAAAAAAAAAAAAAAAAAAAAAATCCCCCATACATGCCCACAAGCCAACCCAAAATAGACAATCCCTCATTGAGACTTCATGGTGATTCTAAGTTGTGTCAAGTTGACAAAATGTTTTTTTTTTAATGTGTGTGTGTATGTTTTACCTACGTGTGTGTATGTGCACACATGCCCTGGTGCCCATGAAGCCAGTAGAAGCCAGTAGAGGACATTGGGTCCCCTGGAACTGGAGTTACAGATGGTTGTGAGCCACCATGTGGGTGCTGGGAACAGAACCCATGTCCTCTGGAAGAACAGCAAATGCTCTGAAGCGCTCTGCCGTCTCCAGCCCTAACAATCACGAACCATCACGGGGAGTGGTACTTCTGGGACTGGGAGACAGACCCAAGCAAGCCTGGCTTTGCAGGACCAGGGCCTTGGCTGCTTCCCAAGGCAGCACAGAAGGAGGTTATGTAGAAACTGCTTTCCCTCCTGGGCCAAGAACCAAGCAGGCTTTTTCCTTTTCCCCTTTGGAACTTAATTTCTGTTTACTCTCTGGCGTCCTCCACTAAAGTGAGCTGTAATTACCATATATTAGCATGTATTTCCATAAAGAGAACACTCTTAGAAATCAACCTGGAGGGAGTCCAGAGAGGCCCTTTTCAGCTTCCTCATTCCATAGAATGTAGTAAATGTTTACTGAAAGCCAAGCAAATGCTCAACCCGGGAGTCCAGAGCCAGTGAGAGGCTGGGGTATGGTGGAGACCGGATGCTGGGGGCTTTGAGGGCCTCTCCCAGGGATCTTTCACCATAGAGTGTGGACTGGAAGGGGCTTAGGAGGAAGGCCCTGGCAGTGATGCCCCCAGAGGGGTCGGCATCCTGACTTAGGGGCAGGGGAATTGGGGACAGTCCAGAGACTTCTGACAGAAGGACTGGCCTGGCCACGGAGGATAATATAAATGGGTCTCAGGGGCTGGAGAGATGGCTCAGTGGTTATGAGATTGCTGCCTTGTAGAGGATGGAATTTGAATCTCAGCACCCACATCAGGCAGCTCACAACCACCTGTAACTCCAGCTCCAGGGGGTCTAACTTCCTCTTCAGGCACCCTCACACATGCATATGTGTTCCAGAGAGAGATCAGTGTATGCACACAATTAAAAATAAATATTACTATATATATAGCATGGAGGTCCCTAGGATGACTGTGGCATATAATAAATTTCAGTTTTACTCAATTATTAAAAAAATAAATAAATAAATATTAAAAAAAAAAAAACTGGCCGGGCATTGGTGGCGCATGTCTTTAATCCCAGCACTCAGGAGGCAGAGGCAGGCAGATCTCTCTGAGTTTGAGGCCAGCCTGGTATACAGAGCAAGATCCAGGAAAGGCGCCAAAACTACACAGAGAAACCCTGTCTTGGAAAAAAAAAAAAACTGAACAGTAGTGGTGCATGCCTTTAACCCCAGCACTCAGGAGGCAGAGGCAGGCAGATCTCTGTGAGTTTGAGGCCAGCTTGGGCTACAGAGTGCATTCCAGGACTGCTGGGGATACACAGAGAAACCCTGTCTTGAAGAAAAAAAAATCATAGATGGGAACAATGAAGGGTCTGAGGATGTAATTATTTGGTAGAGTGCCTGCCTGCATGAAGCCCTGGGTTCCATCTCCAGGACCAAATAAACCAGCCATGGCAGGACATGCCTATAAGTCTGGCCCTTGAGAAGCGGAAGATCAGGAATTCAAAGAACTACATAGCAAGTTCGAGGCTAGCCTGGGCCACATGAGAGAACCTGTCTCAAAACCACAAAAACTCCATGTGACATCACTGAGAGACCGTGGCTCTTTGAACGGCTGGCCGGTAGACTGCCAAGGGTGGAGGCGGAGGGGGGCAGCCCTGCTAAGAAGTGAGGTGGGGGGAGGTGAAGGTCAGAGGTTAAGAAGGTGCTGGAAGGTCCCCAGCCCGGAGGAAAGGAGGGGAAGAGAAGGGTGGGTCTCAGCAAGACCCAGGAAGAGGATTGGTGGGGTTGTAAACAAGGAAGGTCAGAGTAAGTAATATGATTTGCTGCCCCCATCATCTCAGCAGTTTGATCCCCCAAATCTTTTTCCGTTTTTTTTTTTCCCCTCGAGACAGGGGTGTCTCTGTGTAGTTTTGGAGCCTGTCCTGGATCTCCCTCTGTAGACCAGGCTGGCCTCGAACTCACAGAGATTCTCCCAATTCTGCCTCCCAAGTCCTGGGATTAAAGGCATGCACCAACACTGCCTGGCGTGATCCCCCAAATCTTAATAGCATTATGAGGGTGGGAACTTACCTATGTGTTCAGAGGGGGTTCAGAGGTGGAGCCTTTGGGGGGTGATTAGGTCATTAGGGTGAAGCCACTCCAATTGCACCCTGGTGGCTTTATAAGGAGGAGAGAGACCACAGGATGGTGGGTGCACATCCCTACCATGTGGGGCAGTCCGGGGAGCATCCCCCCATGCTGCTAGAACCTGTCTCCACAAGTGTAAACCAAATAAACTTCTTGTCTTTATAACGAAGTCTCAGGCATTCTGGTAAACTGCAGAAGTCTGACCAATGTATTAGGATGTTGGCTATTAAATTTTTACAGTAGACTGTGATAGGGGAACACACCAGTTAGGCCATGAGTGACAGGGGCAGTGAGGAGCCAGGGGCCTGGACATGCTGGCCACACCAACTCGGAGACTGTGTGATTGGGGGAGAATATACTGTATACCTTCATTATGTGTGTCCAAGAATTGGTGTTCAAAGACAGGCTGGCTGAGCCTCTAGAAAAAGTACAGGGGCCAGCAAGATGGCTCGGCCGCTGAACAGCCCTGGCTGGCAAGCCTGACACCCGAGTTCAGTCCACACGGTGGAAGTAGAGAACTGACTCCTACAAGTTGTCCTCTGACCTCCACGTGTGTGCTGGGGCACACCCCCACCCCCACTAAATAAATAAAAGTGTAATTAAACTTTTCTAAGTAAAGGAAGTAACTTGCCAAGACTAACCAACTCCAGGCAGACAGCCCAGGTAGCAAGGCAGCGCCCTGCGGAGAGCCCCTGCGTCCGGACCTGAACGTGTAAGTCTTCCTCAGCTCCCTGGGACCCTCCAACTGCCGGGGCTCTGCTTTCACCATGACATCATGGCGCCCTTCATTCTAGGGACAAAGTAAACCAAACAACATTAAGTGCTATTGCCTAAGTTTGGTTAGAAAATGGCTCCTAAGAGGGCTGGTAATTACAGTTGGCATTTCATTTTTGCCCAGGCATGCCAGATAATTGTGCTGGCGGTGGAGGAGCCTTACAGCCTGGCCTGGAAAGTCCTCCTCCAAAGTCAGGCCTCCTAATAACCGCAATAAGCAAAAAACCCGGTGTCAAAAGAATGTCATCCATGATGCAACGGCTGGAGTTTACCAGATGTCTCCTTCCTGTTTTCATTTGCTCAAACTTGAGGTCTGCCAGTCGCCTGATAGTTGCCTTGAGAGATGAAGTGGAGCTGGGGCAGGAGCAGCTGGTGGGTCAGCCCCAGGAAGGAGGCAGGGCTTCCCCTGCCCTGAGTGAATGGGCTCCGCCACTCAAGTCAAAACTGATATCAACAACATCCTTACTCTCCCAGTTGTCAGGAAACCTGGACACGAGTGGAATTTTTCCTTCCTTTGGGTAAATGTGTCACAGTCCAGTGCTGTTGCGACAGATGGAAAAATCCTAGAGAGAGCGCGCAGCAGCAGCCTACCAAGCAAATAGGAAGCACTCTGAGGGCCCACGAGGCACCCACCTGGGTGATGGTGCGCACCCTTCTTGTTTCTCAGAGTTACCTAGTGTGCACTTCCTGCTGAGACCGTTCCTGTTTGCGTTTCTCGGTTGTAAAACCCCAGACTTCCGAACCAGCAAGGACAGGAGTGGGGGTGACGACAGCAGGGAGTGGAAGGGCGTGCCCCACCTCGGCGTCCAAACGACCCTTCTCTGCCATCCATGAAGTGCCCAGAGCTCAGCAGTTAGTGCATGTCCCTTACACGGGCACTGTCTGGTCCTCACGCTTCCTGCTGGAATCAGGAGCCACCCAGGTGACCACAGTAGCTCTGTGCATGGTGTCACAGCACAACCTGGGTAAACCAGGACGTAGCCAAGCTGAGCCATGTTGCACCCCTCTTCCCGCTCTGCAGTGTTCTCGCCCTGTCCCCACCTCTCCCTGCTGCCAGCGACAGATGCTGGGCATCCCCTGGTGTCACTCTGCTAGGAGCGGGCGCTCTCCCACGCTCTGACCCACCCACCTGGGCCCCACGGGGATGACCGCACTTTGCTGGGGCGAAGACCCCCTAGATCTTGGAGGAGAGGTATGTCCCCACCCAGCTCTCCAGGTCACATGGTCCGCGGCGGGACCCACGGGTGGGTCACGTGACGGCGGCGCACGGTTGCCTAGGCAGCGGCTGCGGGCGGAAAGAGGGAGGGGGCCGGTCCTCCGCCCTGGCCCGGCCGCAGGGCCACCCGGCCGCAACACAGACGCCAGCCACGGGCCAGGAGCTGGGAGCTGGAGCCAAGCACGGAGGGATTGGGAGCCAGGGTGAGTGCCGGGGCGGTGGAGGGGACGTTCATCCTTCTTTTGTCTCGGAAGAGTCTGAAGGGGACACGAGAGGGTCCCAGATAAGGGCGCGCAGAGGAATTGGATCAGGGACACTGAACGGGGAGGAGACGGAGCTTCTTCGTGGGCAGGCATAGGATGGAGAGGAAGGGACAGGAGGACCGAGGGGCAGACGGGGTGGCCTCTTGACCCTAATCCCGATACCCTTAGTAGGGTGCAGTGTCAGGGGACTGGGAGCTCGGGGCTGCCCGCTGATTCTCAGGTCCTGCACTCGCAGGGACTTCCCTAAAGTAAGGGGCAGGGATGCAGGTGGCTGATTCTGGCAGGCCGCTGCACCTCTCAGGCGCGCGGGTGACAGCAGACATTTCCCGTGCCCCAGATGTTTAGAGGAAGTTAAAACAGGCCGACTCCATAGCCTGCTGCCTGGACCGCTTCAAACACACCTGACGAGAGAACGCTTGTCTAGCAGTCTCACGGTGTCTCCCTACAAGACCTCATCTTTCTCCTGCTCTTTATTTAAGAAAAAAAAAAAAAAAAGCTTCAGACTGCCTAGCAGTTCTTCGAGCTGGTGCTGTCACAGAAATGTGGGCTCCATCTTGTCTCACTCCGCGCTCCCCCCCCAGCCTGAGCTGGCAGTGTGCAGGCCAGACTCTGCCCCTCCCCACAGGGCAAGGGTTGGACCAAGATAGGCCCCAGGAGTATAAGGAATGGATTTGAGGTGGGGCCGAGGGCACTGTGCCTGTGATCCCGGTACTCAGGAGATGAGGCAGGACAGTCCCAAGTTCCAAGTCAGCCTGGGCTACACAGCAAACCTCAAAACAAAGCCAACAGCAGAAAGGGGGTCAGGTGGGAGCTGTAGACATAACTCAATTAGAGACTATTTGCCTAGCATGCAGGAAGCCCTGAGTTCAGTCCCCAGCACCATGTAAACCAAGCAAGTAATTGTGGCACTTGGAGGCGGAGACAGGAGCACCCAGAGTTCAGGGCTATCCTTGGTTACATTTTGGGTTGGAAGCCAGCTTGGGCTATATGAGACCCTATTTAAAAAAAAAAAAAAAAAAACAGTAAGAAGGAAGGGGAAAAATGGATTTAAAACCCCTGGGCTAATCACAGTGGTGGGTGGCTCAACATAGGACCTGCAGGTCTGTCTGGAGACTCAGCTGGAGGCAGGCAGCTCTTCATGCCCACCCCTCATCACCCTGGGGCTACCTAGCTCAGCCACACTCTCAGACTGGGACTTCCTCAGTTGTGGTCCCCTGGGTCACCGTCTTCTCTGCCTCATGGATCCTTCCCATCCTTGGATCCCCTGGGACTGGAGTCATAGATGGTCGTGAGCCACCATGTGGGTGCTGGGAACGGGACCTAGGTCCTCTGGAAGAGCAGCCAGTGCTCTTCATGGCTGAGTCATCCATCCAGCCCCTCCACAAGCCATTTCACTGGGTGAAAGGTAGTCTATCCCAAAGAGTAACTATGGACAGTGACTGTTCCCATCCCCGTCTCCCACCATGTCCCCATGCCCTAGCATGGCTGGAGAAAGCCCACTATGGTCCTACGGTCTATCCATAACTAGCCCTGAACTGCTGTCCCAGGCCCCAAGAGTCTTCCATCGCCTTGTCCTTCAAGCAACCGACCTTCCTGCCTCACCCTCTGGAGGATGCTAGCCTTCCTAAACATGGCTTCATCTTCCTGCCTCTCAGAACCCTCCATGTGGGCGGCATTTTGTCTTGGATGGAAGACCTGGTTTTGGTTTTGTTTGTTTGCTTGAGATTTTATTTTTTATTTATTTTTTTAATTCCCAACCTCAGCTTTTTTTTTTTAAGATTGATTTATTTATTATGTATACAGCATGTATGCCTGCAGGCTAAAAGAGGGCACCAGATCTCGTTACAGATGGTTGTGAGCTACCATGTGGTTGCTGGTAATTGAACTCAGGACCTCTGGAAGAGCAGTCAGTGCTCTTAACCTCTGAGCCATCTCTCCAGACCTTATTTTTTATTTTTTGCTTATATGTGTATGGGGGGGGGGGCATGTGCACATGAGTGCAGGTACCTTTGGAGGCCACTAGAGGGCATCAGACCTCCTAGCGCTGGACTTAGAGGTAGTTGTAAGCTGTCTGATTTGAATACTGAAAAGCTAACTCTGGTCCCCTGCAGTAGTATATGCTTTTACCCGCTGACCGGTCTCTCCAGTGCCCAAAGGGTCTGTCTGTGCCACATTGTCTTTTCTACCCTTGTGTGACTGTCCTAACATGGGTCTGTATGTGACAGGCAGCCAGCCCTTCAGTTTTCCCCTGACCGCTGAAGCAGGTAGCTGACTGAATAAGAGTGTTTCCGGCTTGTCTGGCTCCCCTTTGGGGCAGTGGGTTCTTTGAAGATAGAGATTCATTCTCTTGTAGGGTTGTTCTTTGGTTTGGTTTTTCACCTCATCCTGCATGGGTTGGTCCTGGAAACCTGACTGGAGAAACAAGAGAATGAAGGGACAGACACAGAGATCCAGGTTCAGGAAAGCTGGGGTCAGGCAGGCCGCACTCACTCTGACAGAGCAGTACTAACTGCGCAGCATCCTGGACCCTCGGTGAGTTTATTATGTACAGCACAAGGAGAGGGCTTTGTCTCAGTACGATGTCTCTGTAGGGGTGCAGCCACATGTATCTCTGCCTCCTTCCTCAGGGAAGTTCCTAAAGCTGCAGGACCTGGGAAGTGGCCGGCAGCCCCAACCTGACTCTGCCCCCTACCCAGGGTATCAAGGGTGGGGTCACCTGGCACCTCCCAGGTCGCAGTCATCCTGGAGGAGGAAGCTGCAGTTGCCAGTTTTTGCACCCTAGTTAGTCATTTGTAAACACTCTACTTGGTCCAGAAAAGGCATGGCCATGCCTCTGAGCTTCACCTGGAGGGAGGTTTGGCCAGTTCCCACGGGTCGGAGGCCATGGCCCTTGTTAATAAAGTGTGTTCACTCAGGACTTCATCAACTCCTTACACACTCACTCAAGGCTTCCTTGGCTCCCCACAATTTTTGTTTGTTTGAGTTTTGTTTCGGTTTTGTTTTTATTTTGAGACAGGATCTCCCACAGTCCAGGCTGAGCTTGAAAAGTTGTCCTTGAACTCCTAATCCCCCTGCCTGCATCTCCCTAGTGCTGGGATTTTAAATGTACATCATTCTATCCAGTTTTATGCCATGCTGGGGATCCAGCCCCTCACTGGGGGATTCTAGGCAGGTGATCTACCACTGAGCCACACCCCAGCCCCTCACTGGGGGATTCTAGGCAGGGGCTCTACCACTGAGCCACACCCCAGCCCCTCACTGGGGGATTCTAGGCAGGTGCTCTACCACTGACCACACCCCAGCCCCTCACTGGGGATTGCTTTTCACAGCCCTCTCTGTACTATTCCTCCAGACTTCAGGCTTTGTTCTGTGCTGTATTGGGGGGGGTTCATTTACAAATTGTGACATATTCAGTCATTTGGAGCTGACCCATGGAGTGGTGAGAAGTGTTTGTCTGAATCTCCTCCAAGGGAGGAGACATACTTGAGGAGGTAATTGGCCACAGTGCTGCCAGCTTGTGGGGGACCAGCCCCCACATTTATTTATTTACCCCAGGACTCTTGAGGAATGGGGATAAGAGACTCAGTTAGAGAAACAGAGAGAAAACACAGGATAGACTCGGGTGGGCCTGGATCCTTACCCACCGGCCCAGAACTTTATCCCAAAGGTCTATTTATAACAATGCCAAGGGGTGGAGCAAAGGCCTCCCCCTGGCTAGGTACAAAACACCCACACTCAGGCCCATGGTCCAATCGTCCTCTCTAGGCAGACCTGCTGGGTACAGAAACCTGAAAATGGGCTCCCACACTAGCTGCAGGTGTGGGTGACATGTGACCCTAGTCCTCAAGTTGTCATTCCTATAAACAGGCCCAGAAGGCAGGTGTGGTGGCACCGGCCGTCATCCCAGCACTCAGGGCCAGAGATGGCAGATCTTCGTGGTCTACATAGCAAAGGAGGCTAGGCTAGCCAGAATCAGTCTCTTCCATACATGTACAAAAACAACAAGAAGTAAATGGAGTCACTTGCTGCTCCCTAGGGAGACAAGAACACAGAACTGTCCCCGAGGACCCTTTTGGTTGGCCGGGAATAGCCGAGGCTCTTTGGCTTGCCTAAGAACAAGGAGGAAGACAGAGGGACCCTTCCCAACTCCTCTCTTCCTCTGCGGTCCTTTTCGGTATTGACTGGGGGGGGGGCACTTCCATCACTGCTGACCCTCACAGACACCCCAGCATCTCATGGGACCCTGGACTCCTGTCCTAATGGTTTGTTTCTTATTCTCTCTCTGTCTGTCTCGCTGTCTTTCTTTCTCTGCTTTCTCTCTTTTAAATTGTATTTTATTTATTTTGGTTTATGCCACAGCGCTCCTGTCAGGCTCAGAGGACGACTTGCAGGAGTCAGTGTGTGGGCCCCAGGGGATCGAACTCTGGTCCCTGGGTTGGTGGCAAGCACCTTTCCCCACAGAGCCATCTCACTGGCGCATGTTCTTTCCCCCTCCCTCCTTCCCGCCCTCCCTGTCTTCACACACACACACACACACACACACACACACACAGACACATACACACAGACACACACACACACAGACACACACACACACACGCGCACACACAAACACACACAGACACACACACACA